GGCAAATGGTGGAATTAAGAGCCTAATAATGACCATCAAACTGTTATCAATTGTTGGGGGGGGAAAAAAAACTATTTGGTTCACTAATGTTCTGTAGGGAAGGAATCTGGTCTCGCTTACCTATGACTCCAAGACTGCAGCAATGTGGTTGAATTGTAACTGCACTCTGTGCTATTAGGAATGGGCACTAAGTGCTGGCTGAGCCAGTGAAGCTCTCATCCCATGAATGAATAAAACAAAAATCAGCTCCAAAGAAACAAAGGTCACATGGTGACTACCTCATTGTGGCTGGGAGACCCCGATTGCACACAAACTGCTGCTATATTCCATACACTGCAATAGTGAATACACATCAAGCTGTATTTATTTCTGTAAAAGCTTTTTGAGGCATTCAAAAGTCATAAAAACTATATATATTCAAGTCTTTTGTCCTTCATTAGCTATTTATGTGTTTGCACTTGTTTACTTATTTATACATTTTTACTTCACCCTTTTCACAAAGATATATTGATGAATACCTTCGTCAAAACAGGAGAATGAAGAAGTTTATAAAAACAAGTTAATCATTAGCATCACAGACTGCCTTCAACTGGAACATTTCTGCAGTGCTAACAATCAGAGAAAATAGAACAAAATAATTAAATTGTCAGTGTTAATCAACAGAATCTGTGCATATTTACTGAAGGAGTTCCCTGCTTTGACAGTATCCCCAACCCCATCCACTCCCCCTCCGCTTGTAACTGAGCAATAAAACTGCTCTGTAATCTAAAGAGTTGAGCACAAAAATCAAAAAAATAATCTGAATGTTTAATAAATTGCTGTTTTAGTCTCAAAGTATTTACCCACCAGCTCAACAATACCCAATCATTTATAAATGTGAAAATCATCACTGCTGGTCTGCACATACGCTTGGACTTAATAGCACTTTTATTTAGTAAGAAAATATATTTTGTTGCTAAGTAACAGAGTATACAATCAAAGACTCTGAAGTACTGTATGAATTGTCTAGATTGATAAATGAGTCTGGGATTCGAGACCTGCATTTCACACTGATTTGATTGGTGAGGGACGATCTTACAATTTACAATTCTGCTGATTATTCATGAATTCACATATACTTGCATCTAGTTTTGCAAGGCAACAGACTTTTAATTCAGTGTATTCTCCAAGTAAACTGTTGCAAGGTAATAATGTGTTAGTTCACGTCTGTCTGCATATGTTTCAAATTTTAAGAACTGCTTCAGGATGATGTCATCACATGGCTTTACTATTTTTCTATTTATGTATCAAACATACTGTTGTTATCCTGTCATAGAATAAATCTACTTAAGGGGGCCTGGTTCTAAATTGCAGCTGTGGCCAATTCTGTGGTTTTTGTTCAAACACATGCCCTCAAGCTCTGAGCAACCAACAGTCCTCACTGAAATCAATGGATACCTCTTTGTAGCTCAAACCCAGAAACATTTAAAACAGTTTATATACTTAAACGGGGAGTGCATTCCAATTCATTATCACAGAGCATTAATTGTTACCAATTTTGCTGGTGTCTTTTGAGGGAGGCGTGATGGCCATATTCACCACTGAATTAATAGATTATGTATAGCCTCAAACAATATGACCCACTTGATTTTGGTTTGCTTGCAAAAAACCTTGGAACTTAGAATAACTGAAGCTTGGGTGACAGGGAATAAAGAGGGATGAATCCTGGTGGACCAAAGAATGGGGTGCAGCAAGGCACCATCTGTCATAAACCTCCCAACAAAAAGGGATAATCATATACTTTCTTCCAACCTGGCATACCTTGACCTACTGTAATCCTCTTCCAATGAGAGCTGACTCAGAGTTTGTATTCTCCCTTCTCATAACTGAGTAAATTAACCAGACGCAACAATTATACAGATGAAATACTGCAGTGGTATTCTGTTCCCTCAAATCATCTTAAGAAGAAAGATTTGATCTACTTTAGCCAAAACAAAGCATATTTAGCTCAGAAAGGTAAATAATATTTCTTTTAAATGGCAGAGAACAGAGGGTACAAGTTGAATGAGTCATCAAAATATTAAAAAAGCATTTAAAAAACAGCTGTTATAATAAAACAATGGGTGGGTAAAGCTAGAAAGATTTTGCTACATCGCAGGGTGGAATGTGTTCCTGCCAGATAAAAGAAAATAAAGAAGGGATATGATTCAAGTCTACTAAATGGTAAAAGTCATTAATAATGCAGATATTAGTATGTTATACAATTTACATTGATTAAAGAATAGGAGTGAAATGTAACCAGAATCATACAGAAAGAGATTAGAAAGCTTGCCACAATACTGAAAGCATGAGGACGATATACTGCGGACTATCATGAAATTACAGATTGATCAAAATAAATCAATTTTCACCCTAAAAGCTTGTGATCAAATCCCAAATTTAGATGTTGGGGCTGAAATAATCAGTAAACACAAGTATCACCTCAAAAGCACACGTAACAAAAACACTCAGAACGAATTTTTTTACTGGACTCATGGACAAATTAAGGAGGAAATATGTGAAGTTTTAGTAAATATGATTATTTGGGCCAGAAATAGACAGTTTGAATAGCTGAGTTTGTTGGATGATGCCAACAGTGTGGGTTCAATCTCTGTACTGGCTATTGGTAGCTCATGACTTGCCCAATACTTGATCTGGAGTGATGTCCTTCAAGCTACTTGAGCCGATATAGCTTCACAGACTACTTGCCAGCATCAAGACCAGAACCATTGAGCATCATAAAGAATGTTATCCAGCTTTTTAAAATAAAACAGGAAGGCCAAAAGTTACTAATCTGTCATTCATAGCTAATATTCATAACAGGCTAAACCATCAAACTTTATGCAGGACGCTTTTGACACTTATTTGAACAAGCCAAATGCCTTAAGGAGCGTTAAGCATGATTTAACTGGCTTGCCTCGTGAAACAATTGGAACATTCTGAAGTTGTGGGGGTCTTCAGAAGGATTTGATAAAATTCCACATGTAAGGCTATTAAAAGGGTTAGAAGTGGATGAAATTAATGGCAAATTAGATGAATGGAATGGAAACTAGCATGATTAAATAAAACCAAAACTGAGAACAATTTGAGAAAGCTCCGCCCAGCAAAAGTGATTGGAATAGTTCTGAAAAGATCTATTCTAAGTGACTCTGCTGCTCTCAATGTTTTTGTACAATATAGAGAGGAGTGCTGATGACAACACCATAATGTTTGCTAATGATATCCGGCTGCATGGCAGTGTGACAACTATAAGAGTGTGATCAGCATTCACAAGTATCTATCAATTAAGCAGATGGGCTGTAGAATGGCAGTCAGACTATAACTTAGACAAATGTGAAGTAGTGAACACTGGAATGTGAAACAGCGAGCGGATATACAAAATGAAAGAGTTTCCATTAGTAATGGAAGAGGAGGAAATCATTCAAGTCTGATTATTTGTCATTGACTGAAAATCTCTAGTCATTGTGAAGTGGTTATGAATAAAGCTAATCAAATCGTAGATGACAGCAAAAAAGCATTTGATAAGAAGCCAAAATAAGTAATTGTAACCTTTTATAGATCATTGATAATGACACAATGTGCATAATGTATTCCAGCCTACCATGAGAGCAGGGGCAGATTGGCGAATGCTCTAAATCATCATGTAGGACTTGCTGAATTGAACTTATTTTCATTTTAGTGGAAAGAAAATTGAGAGGGCCCATGATCCAAATCTATGAAATGCTGAGTGGTATTGATGATCTTTTAAATGGTCTATTGAGAGTAAGCACAGAAATAGGAAGACAGATGTTTATAGTTAACAATCCACAATGTGACTGGAGATTGGAGGAAGCTATTTGTCCCTACAGTAATGAATATGTAGAATAATTTTCCAGCAAAAACAGTTGGTACTATTTTGATTAACTCTTTCAAAAGCGACTGGATAAATACATGGTTGAGTGAAGCATAAACTGGGATGATTAAATACTCAATCAAACACAAAAGCCTCGATTTTAAAGCTGATAATAACTCTTTATCATGAAGTGCCACTACCAGTGTTAAGATGAGGTTGATTGAAGAAAAATGGACTAATGGTTGCAATGCTATTGGAAATATTATGTGCCAAGTGTAACAGAACAGGGTTACACAAGTGGTATGTGAAGAGATGTATTTTCTATAGATTTGAATAACTGTCTTTGAAAATCAGAGAGCTATCCCTTTGGAAATTAAGTGAATATACCAAGTGTACAATCGAATCAATTAGATAGGGTTGTGAAATGAGCAAGCCTGATGAACAAAACACACGTTGATTTTGCAGCTTTTCCTTTGTATGCAATAAACACCCATCCATGATATTTTTTAAACATGACATAGATAATTGCAAACAGGATAATTATATGTCCTATGAAACACTACAGTTCGGTCTTGCTGGTAAGTTTGGGAATATGACTTGTGGAATAGAACAGGTCAGAGTTGCAGAAATATTAAACTCTGATATGCAGGGCTCATGATTCAGGAGGTTCGGAGCAAATTTACCATGTACTTTCCTTTCTTGGAAATATTACCAATGATTATTCACTTCTCCAGGGAGAAAAATAAGCCAAGGCAATCCTTTATGATGTAAATTGTTCATAGTCTGCCGCAGGAACAGTGATCAAAAGCTTTCCAGTACCACGTCCTCATATGTTTTAACGCAGTAAATGAATGTAAACATTTATTAAAATTATGTAATGTTCTTTTGAGTTATCAATATTAATATGAGCATTTGTCACACTTATTGAAAAAAAATCTGTTTGTTGACGCATGATACTGATTTTTGGCAACCAGACTGCCATTTACTGCCAGCCCAATTTCTGGAACTAGGTAATTTCAGTAAGTAGCAAAATATGCACAGAAATACAAACAGAAGTTGCTGCTTGCAAGCTCACAATTAACTTGATTGCTTCTCTTTTTGTGCCTTTCCTGTTATGAGCCAGTTAACGGTGCACCAGCTGCACACTTACCTCCTCCAAATCCATTTCATCAGGACTGTCCCAAGGCTTGATAAATTTCCCACGGGATTTCTTCAAAGGCACAACAATTATATAGTACCCTCTGTTAAAACGAAAAAACAGGTTAATTGATAACAATGTCAAAACTGCCTAGGTCATCTAATTAAACAGACAATTTTCTTAAGCCAGCCATTATTTCAAAACAAAGGTATTCCCCACATACATACATGGGCATTACCCCTGGTTCAGCAAGAACTTTTGAGACTTGAATTCCAAGTTGACCAGAACTGAACTTTCAACCCTGGGGATAAGATTTTCTTTGAAAAAAAAACGCGATGGTTAATCGGTCACCAATTCCATCACATTTCTCCTGAGGTCAATGAAAATAAAATGGGCTGCTGTAAATTGAATTGCCAATTCAAAGTAGCCCATGGCGCATGACCTCTCAAGGCCAGTTTCAACGACCCCACCCAATATCGACCATCAACAATATCACCAAATCCCAACTCTAAGATTATCCGTTTCTGCCCTACTTTAATCTTTTGGTTACTATGACTGTAATGCATGTCCTGGTCACGTCAAGAACAAAGTACTCTTCTGGTCATCTGTCATGCTTCACTTTCCTCAATTCAGTTCACCGGAAGTGTAACATCTGTGTCCTGTTCCACACCACATCCCACTCACCTATCACCACATAGCCAAGTGTTTTACATTAGCTCCCAGTGTATTAAAAGCCTCAAAATTAAAATTCTCATTTACCTTTTAAAATCCATTCATTATCTCATTCCTTCCTCTCTTCTAAGTTCCTCTAGTTTTACAAAACCAACCACAGCACTCCAATACCCTCCCTTGGATTCTGACTTCTTCTAATACCTCCTTTCCTTTGTGATGGCACTGAAATTTCCTTCCCAAACCTCTTTTTTTTTAATACAAAAGAACAAGGAGCAGGAGTAAGCCACCCAGCCCCTCTGACATGTCTGACATTTAATGAAGTTTTTATAAGGAGTTATTTTTCTTACATCGTAATGCTTGCTGTTTTGTGAAACAGCATGAGGCAGCAATGTACAGAACCCTTGCTTGTTTTTGATTCACAAACAAAATATCATTCATCGTTCTTCTTAGCAATAGTGTGAAACTCTCATTTCAGAACACAGAAAACGAGCTATTCAACATATTTTGCCAAAACCATCAATGGTCCAGGCAGTTCTGGAACAACATGCTGGAATATTATTTTGTGGTAAAGACAAGAGACACTGGAAATTCTAATTCTATACGTGGAGACTCTGGATGGTTGTTGCTGCTACACTTTGCAGGAAATATTGCAATCATGCCTACAGGTTCCACAGGAAAATCAATTGCATGTAATGAAATTGTTGGCTTTACGTTATTAATGTGAATGAGCATTGCCACAGACATTTAGGGTTGGCAATTCGGGTCAGAAGCACCTCTTTAATTGCATGCTAGATAGTGCTGACATGCCACCCAAAGCTGGTGGCCAAAAAGTGAACAATGAAACAGTATTTCCACTATTGGCTGCTGCTGAAGGATTAAAAAAACCCATTTAAATTAATTTTCACAATATTTTGGTGCTAATCTTGCAAACCATATTCCTGTTAGTTTTATTATGCAACTTACAGAAGGTAATTCAGTTAGGATATTTTTGATCTAATGTCCTACGAAAGTTTTTCCCACAGTTCCTGATCAAAGTATCTCACAGATAAAGAATGTTTGCACACTAACCCTGCTATTCACTCATAACTTCTCAAGGAACAAAAGACAACATCCTTTAGATCTTTGTTATTTTTAAGCTTAATTTACAATCACTCTTTTTTCCCTCTGTTTTCAAAGTACTTTTTTTCTCTTGATCACTAGTTCTACTCTATCTTTGGGTTTCATTAGTTAATGACATTCCTAAAGTGCTGGATGTAATGTTGATATTGCTGTGTCAATATTGATTTATGACATGAGAATGTTAGTAAGTCCTGCTAATGTTGCTCATTGCATAATCTGCCATCCCATCAATTTTTGAGTGCGTGTATTCTTGCACACACAAACACCAGCCATGGAAAATGCAACTTAAGAGATTTGATCATCATTATCCTTCTCAGTGACTTCCTATTTTCCTCTCACAATTGTTACCATTAAAGACAACTGGGTTACTTGAGATAGAGGGAAAGACACTGGATTTTCGCCCTGATGGGTATTATTGAAGTAGCTGCTCATCCAAAATAGACAGTCTGAATACCTTGACATTTTATTCCTAAAATTTCAGTGGAATTATAGTTGTTCTTTTGGGACAGCTGGACTCCATTACCACTGCAGAGGTAAGGAGAAGGGAGGGTGGGTGGGTGGGAGACAACAGTCTTTTAACCACTTTTGTTCCATTGCACCAGCATCATGTAAAACAAAAGTGAAGTGATGTTGGGGGATCAGGACAGATTCTCACATCAGTGTTTCTAAATTCAGATGTTTCACTGTTGTTAACAACTGGACTTTTATCAACAAGCTTAATGGGAAGGAGAGATTTAAGCAAAGTGCTCTCTATACTTAAGGCTCTTATGAAATTACTAGTGAATTTCCTATGGCATTACTGACAAGAATCTGCAGTAAGTGAACTTACTGACAGAGTAATCATCCAGGAAATAAAAAACATGGATATTTACTACAAAGATTGTCTTCCACAGTTATAAACCAAGTGAAAGTGGCAGCTAGTTAATGGAGTGCCATTTGTGTAAATTCATTTAGTTTTGAAATAGTGTGTAAAGCTGTGATGTGACATCCTGTGTAATCCAATATATTTGTGTGAGATAATTCAAAATGAGCTGAGCCAAAACAATGCAGTTGCCCAGAGGGCATTACTTAAGTAAAGGAATGAAACAGCAACTTTGACTGATAGTCATTGAAAAACGTTATGCAGGAAATTGAGAAACCATAAGATTTATTCCAAAATGTATTCAATCACTGTGAAATTGTAACAGGAAATTGACTCTAGTGGCACAATTTTTTTAAAACGAATTGAAAGAAGAGAGCACTCAAAGAAGAATCAGGTCTTGGATGAGTACAAATTGTGAACATTAATCATAATCAAGATATAAATTAACCAAAATGTGAGAAGGGGAAGAAAGGACATTCGAGTATCCACTAAGTGCAGCAGAGTGGATGGTACTGCAGTCCAACTAGGACAGGATGTTTAGTGGCAATTTCAGGCCATGGGAGGGTGGGGTCAATGCCGATGAACATCAGGGAACCTTATAAACCAAGGGTTGATGTGAGAGAAAGGAAGTAATTCACCTGTCAGCAGTTATAGCTAGTGGGCCCCAAGTCCTTAATTTTGGTGAAAATGGGATGGAACGAACGGGAAGGGAGAGGTAGAACAACAATGGAGTCAGCAAAGTAATGACAGGGATCCAGAAGGAAGATAGCTGAGTAATATATAAAACTAGCTTTCAACAAAACTAATAACTGACAGTCTGTCATTACTGTTTCAAAAAGAACATGGCAAGCACTTGGCTACAACAATGTAAAAAGCCTACAGCTGAAGTGTGACAAGTGGAAAGGGTTCTGACATTCAAATAAAGTTCCAAAAGCAATTTCCACTGCAAAGTTATATGCTAACAGTTGAGATCAAGCAGATTAGAATATTCTAACACAAGAGGTTAATTGTGTCTGTGCTGACTCTTTAATAGGCAATAGTTCATGGTTCCCTCGCGTTGCCTTCTTTGTAACAAGCTCCTTATCCCCAAGCAACTGTCCAACTTACTTTTGAGATTTATCAATGGAATCAGCTCAAACCAGCCTTCCAGAAAGGATGTTCCAAAACCTGACAACACTTGCTGGGCCTAATTTTCATCTCGTCTCAGGACTGATTCAAAGCCATTGGAAAGTAATGATCCTTGGTTATTGATTCATTCACTAAAAGAAAATAATTATTTTATTTACTCTATCAAGGACTCTCTTGCAAACTCTAAGTTATGTCACCTGGTCTTCTCCTAGAAGACCAACTTATCTAACATGTCATCAAAACTGAACTCCAACACTTCGGGTTATATTCTGCTCAAATTCTTCAGACCCTGACTCAAGCCTTGACATCTTTTCTGAAGAGGTGATGCCCAGGATTCACGGCAACATGCCAGCTTAGGCTATTTCATGCTCATGGAGCATTACTCAGCTGTCGGTGGGACTACTGTTTTCTGTTTGCCAATGGTAATATAAACAAAATAAATTGCATTGATGGAGGGGAACCCTTCCATACCGCACCACTGCTGATAAAAGCACTGGGGAAATGAAGGCTGCCTTCCCCAATCCACACTTTCTGGCTGCAACAAGTTTTCACCAGCTGAAAAAGGCAAATGGTATTTTGGCCTTCATAAGGATAGGATTCGAGTACAAGAGCAGGATGTCTTGCTGCAATTATACAGGGCCATGGTGAGATCATGCCTGGAGTGCCATGTGCACCTTTGTCTGCTTACCTAAGGAAAGGTATCCTGGTTATGGAGGGAGTGCAACAAAGATTATCAGACTGATTCCTGGAAAGGCAGGACTGATGTTTGAAGAGCAACCGGATTGGTTAGGATTATACTCACTGGAGTTTAGAAGAATGAAGGGAGATGTCATAGAAACCTAAAAAATTCTAACTGGATTAGACAGGATAAATGAAAGGAGGATGTCCCCACTGACTGGAGAGTCCAGAACCAGGAGTCTAGGGATATGGAGAAGGCCATTTAGGACTGAGATGAGAAGAAATTTCTTCAGGTAGAGAGTGGTGAGCCTGTGGAATTCTCCCCCACAGAAAGCGATTGAGGACAAAACAGTGAATGTTCTCAAGGAGTGCAATTTAGTACATAGGGCTAAATGTATCGAAGGAAATGGAGAGAAAGTGAGAACAGGCTACTGAATTGAATGATCATCCACGATCAAAGTGAGTAGTGCAACAGGCTGGAAGAGCCAAATGACCAATTCCTGCTTCTCGTTTAGATGTTTCTATGAATTGAAGGAGCATAATTTCAAAAGGCCTCAAACAATCACCTTGCAGAAACTGATCTGTATTCTTATAACCAAAACCAACGTGCAGTGCAAAATGTGAGAAAGAAAGATGACTGAATATTTGCATCCTACAGAATAGTCTGGACATAGAAGGCACTGGTGATCCTTGTCAGGGCATAACTTAAGAAATTCCAACTTGTGGGTACAATGTCCTGTGAAGGGGTACAACAAGATTGCTGAAAGAGGAAGTACTTCAATGAAATATTACCAAACTTCCTGCAGACTGATCAGTTACATGTTACCAACCAACCCGAGTTGTTATAGCTTCAGCCGACCAACTCCTTTGCATCTTTTTGTTAGACATGAGATGGAAACTAAAAATCTAGCAGCCACTCAATGTCAGTAGTGCAGAAAATCCAGTTAGTTCCAGCACTGAGACAGCTCCAAATTGTTGCTGGTGGGGAAAATCTAGGTTACACCTGAGCATACAATTTTTCCAAGGAGAAATAAGATAAATTGCTTGCAAAACAGTATTTAAGTTGTAAGGATACAATCTTAAGAAACATGAATAGAAATCTAGACAACTGGTTATTAGATGACATTGCTTACTTTACTGGGGCTGGTGGTGTTGGCACTGCTGACAGCTCAACAGTCAGCATTCCATCAGAATTGGTTTTCTCAATCAGGACTGGCTTGGTGCGGAGCAGGTCTGGAGCGGTGTGTGCTGAGACCACTTGCTGTAGGCCCCCAGCACTGTTTCCTCGATTGGTCAAAACAAATGAATACGATGTGTCAGGGTCTAAATTGGTGATTAGCTTTTGTGTAGCTCTTCCATCCACTTCAATATGGTCATTATTGTAGATGATCTAATCAGTCAGAAAAGAAAAACTTGATTAGTTGCTTTATAACCATTATAAGCCTACAATTAACTCTGAAACACCCAAATTGTAGTTGACAGGCCAAGAGTTCTGTTTAGAGTTATCTACCTTCAATGTTAACCGTTGCCCTCAGAACAGAAGCTGTTTGACTGGCTGAACATTTTCTGTTTAATTTCATATTTCCAGCTTCTACAGCATTTTTTTTCTGTAATAGTTGTGTTGGTTTCTTAAAATGTGCATTAATATCAACATTGCAGTAGGATTAATAGTTTTCCAAAAATATCTGAACATTCTATTGCAGAAAACTGAAACCGTTTGCAACAAGCATTCCAGAAGTATTTACTCAATGTTTTTTAATTTTGTATACCTGTTGTAGGAATTGAACACTAACACATATGGTAGAATATATCAAAATGCTTTGTAGGATTTTCAATCCTGTAAGTAGTTAGCTGAGGATGTACCAAAGTTGAGGGAGCAATCATTGATCAGAAATGGAGTGTGTCTGAACAAGAGGCTTGAATCTTCACAAAACGACAAGCATAGCCAGTTCAAATGGTTCAGAGGTAACTATAAACAAAGATGCATACAGAAGGTGCAAGTGCTAAGGATAGTTTTCACAACTCGTTGTAGACAGGTGATTCCAAGGAATGACAAAGAGATGAAGTTTTCCAGCACTTCAAGTTCAATTTGGGACATTATTGGCTGGTCATCTTTGATAGCTATACAGGAAAGGTAACATTGGAGCGTCACCTGCAGAAAACAATCTGAAGCCTGAAGTGGGAAGCAGCAACATGCTGATACAAGTTTGAGGAAGGGAATTTAATTCCTATAATATTTTGAACTAGTGAGGTGAGAGTGATAGCTTTTGACATTAAGGCCGCATTCAACCGAGTGTGGCATCAACAAATCCCAGCAAAATTAGAATCAATGGATATCAGGGGCAAACTGTCTGGTGGGTGGATTCATACCTGGCAGAAGAAAGTTGGCCGTGGTTGTTGGAGGTCAGTCATCTGAGCTCCAAGACATGTCTGCAGGAGTTCTCAGGGTAGTGTCCTAGTCCCAACCATCTTCAGCTGCTGCACCAATGACCTTCACTCTATTGTAAGGTCAAAAATTGGGATGTTCGCCGATGATTGTAATCATGTTCGGCACCATTTGGGACTCTGATACTGAAGCAGTCCATGTTCAATTGCAGCAAGATCTGGACAATATCCAGGCTTGAACTGACAAGTGGCAAGTAACATTCGTGCCACATAAATGCGAGGTACTGACCATCTCCAAATTGAGACAATGTAACTCCTACCCCTACTTATTCAATGGTGTTACCATCACTGAATCCCCCACTACCAATATCTTTGGCATTACCATTGAACCAGACTTGTCACATAAATAGAGTGTCTACAAGAGCAGGTCAGAGGCTAGGAATACTACGGCAAGTAACTCACCTCCTGAATCCTCAAAGCCTGTCCACCTTGTCCTAGCACAAATCAGGATTGTGATGGAACGCTCCCCACTTTCCTGGATGGGTGTAGCTCCAACAACACCCAAGAAGCTTGAAAACATCCAGGAACAAACAGCGTGCTTGATTGGCATCACTCCGACAAGCATCCATTCCCTCCATGTTGATGCTCAGTTGCAGCACTGACTACTATCTACAAGATGCACTGCTGAAATTTAAAGATCCTTAGGCAAAACCTTCCAAACCTGCCATCATGTTTGTCGAGAAAGGCTGTAGAAACATGGGAACGCCACTACTTGCAACTTTCCCTCCAAGCCACTCAGCATCTTGACTTGGAAATATATCGCTGTTCCCTCACTGTCACTAGGTCAAATTCCTGGAATTCCCTCCCTCATAGCATTGGGGGTCAACCCACAGCTTGTAGACTGCAGCAATTCAAGAAGGCAGGTTAACCTCATCTTCCCAAAGGCAAATAGAGATGGGCAATAAAACGCTGGCCAGCCAGCAATGCCCATGTCCTGTGAGCAAATTAAAAAAAAAAAAAATATGTGACAAGGAAAAGTAAAACAAGAGGTTGGAATAAATATTCTGTGCATTGACTTTAAGGAAGCAATTGAAAAGGCAGGAATTTTCTGGGTAATGAAGATTCTGAATAGTTCATGGGTCTATCATGTCAGGTAGAGAATTTGTGAATGCATAATTAGGGAGCTGGTAATGTTAACTGAGGCAGCTACCTGCAGTTAAGAACTTTCTCTTTCTTTATTCATTCATTCATGGGATGAGGACGTCACTGATCAGGCAGCATTTATTGCCCACCCCTAATTGCCCAGAGGGCAGTTAAGAGTCAACCACATTGTCGTGGGTCTGGAATCACATGTAGGCCAGACCAGGTAAGGATGGGAGTTTCCTTCCCTGAAGGACATTAGCAAACTAAATGGGTTTTTCCAACAATCGACAATGGAGTCATGGTCATCATCAGATTGTTAATTCCAGATATTTATTGAATTCAAATTCCACCATCTGCCATGGCGGGATTTGAACCTGGGTCCCCAGAACATTATCTGGGTCTCTGGATTAACAGTCCAGCAATAATACCACTAGGCCATCGCCTCCCATTCTAACTAGAAACAATTACCTAAGTGATCAATCTTTGGGTTTCTGCAACTTATACCATTGTTCACTTGGCTGAATGGCTGGCTTGCAATGCAGTTACACCACAACATGGGTTCAATTTCTGTACTGGCTGAGGTAACCATCAAGGTCCTGTATTCTCAGTCTCACCACTCGCCCAGGTTTTGTGACCCTCAGGTTTAACTCACCATCAGTCGTCTCTCTCTCTCTAATGAGACAGCAGCCTGATGGTCCTCTGTGACCATGCAGATTATAGCTTTTTAATGGAAGCCAAGTAAAATTTAAATAGTGGCAAATACAATGTCTTATGGTGAACAGAATTAATGCATAATAGAGTGCAAAAGGATCCAGAGGAACTTATAATTGGAAAGCTGAATAGCACCAAAATATGAATTGCTGAGAAATAAGTCATGCTGTCGAAGATTTGCATCTCGCACTCATCAGGACAGAATCACAAGAATTCTCAAAGGGAACAACAATTTATAATGCATGAGAAGGTGCTGAGTGGTTGTCCTCTTTGATTGGTTGTGCACAGTACTAAGATTTGATAGACTTGAGCTACAACCTATTCTGCTAGACTATGTAACATGCAGAGCCAGACACACACATAAAATAGTGATGGCATGAATGCACTGGTGCACACAGTCAGCTCAAATTCAGTGTCCATATATGAATATGAAGCATAATCAGAAAGGAGGGACAGAAGGACAATGAATTCATTATATAGTGGTTGCCTGAAGACTTTGTGCATCCACAAAGAAACCCATAAGCGATTAGGAGACCATTGGTAGACATAAATAAATGGATGAAATGACACAAGAAAATGGCTTTGGGGATGTCCTCTAAGAACTTGGAGTGCATGGAGCTTTAACAATAGAAAGGCCTTGGATCCAACAGAAGTGTTACAAACAGCGCATAAAATATCAATGCAGTAATACTGTTTTGTAACAGATTCTGATCACCACTTAGATAAAATGATAGTGGCAGTAAAATGGATTCAAAAGAAATCAAGGATAATTTGGGACAACAAGGTGCAGGGCTGGATGAACACAGCAGGCCAAGCAGCATCATAGGAGCAGAAAGGCTGACGTTTCGGGCCTATAATTTGGGCCTTTGCTCATAAAATTGTGCAATCAAACAAACCATCAGGGAATTTAGACCAGTCTGAGCAAAATAAGTGAAGTATTCCACTGGGCAACCAATAGCAATGAGATCAGGGTGAACTAGCCATTTGGTTACAGAACTGGTTCGAAGGTAGAAGGCAGAGGGTGATGGTGGAGGGCTGCTTTTCAGACTGGAGGCTTGTGACCAGCGGTGTGCCACAAGGATTGGTGCTGGGTCGACTGCTTTTCATCACTTATATAAATGATTTGGATGTGAACATAGAAGATATGGTTAGTAAGTTTGCAGATGACACTAAAATTGGAGGTTTATTGGACAGCGAAGATGGTTACCTCAGAGAACAACAGGATTTGATCAGATGGGCCAATGGGCCAAGGAGTGGCAGATGGAGTTTAATGTAAATAAATGTAAGGTGCTGCATTTTGGAAAGGTAAATCGGGGCAGGACTTGTACACTTAATGGTAAGGTCCTGGGAGTGCTGCTGAACAAAGAAACCTTGGAGTCAGGTTCATAGTTCCTTGAACCTGGAGTGACAGGTAGATAGGGTAGTGAAGGCGGCATTTGGTATGCTTGCCTTTATTGGCTAATGCATTGAGTATAGGAGTTGGGAAGCCATGTTGCATCTGTACAAGACATTGGTTAGACAACTTTTGGAATACTGCAAGCAATTCTGCTATGGGAAGGATGTTGAGAAACTTGAAAGGATTCAGAAAAAAATTACAAGGATATTGGCTGGGTTGGAGGGTTTGAGCTATCGGGAGAGGCTGAATAGACTGGGGCTATTTTCCCTAGAATGTCGGAGGCAGAGGGGTAATCCTTTTCGAGGTTTGTAGAATCATGAGGGGCATGGATAGGGTGAATAGACAAGGTCTTTTCCCCGGGGTTGGGGAGTCAAAAACTAGACAGCATAGGTTTAAGATGAGAGGGGAAAGAGTTAAAAGGGACCTAAGGGACAATTTTTTCACACAGAGGGTGGTGCATGCATGCAATGAGCTGCCAGAGGAAGAGGTGGAGGCTGATACAATTACAACATTTAAAAGGCATCTGGATGGGTATACAAAAAGGAAGAGTTTAGAGGGACATGGGCCAAATGCTGGCAAATGGGACTAGATTAATTTAGGATATCTGGTCGGCATGGATGAGTTGGACTGAAGGGTCTGTTTTCATGCTGTACAGCTCTACGACTCTACAAGTGTATTGGCTGTCAGTTGGAAAATGAAATGGAGAGAACATTTAAAATCAGGACGGGAATCAATTGGTTGCTGCTTCGTCTGAA